CTGACAGACCCAGCTGAGCGGGTTGCTGCAAACACTTGGGCACACAGGGTCCATGGATTAAATCCAACAGATACAGGGAAAAGCCCAGCAGAAGAACCTGCTATTTTTCTGGCTTTGTGTTGTTAGCACAAGGCTGGGTTCCTGTGGTGGCTCCTGTTCCGTGCTGAAATGACTGTGGAGCTGCTGTTGGTTTGTAGGCAGGAACAGGGAGCCCTTAGGCAGAGGTGGTAAATGGAAAATGCTACATTCCACTTCTGTTCCTCAAGGAGTAGTGTTAGAGGTGGAGCTTGTTTGTTCCATGTTCCGATGGAGGTGGACTCGGAGGCATCAATGCCATCATTTGCTGTCTGCTGAGAGGGACATGGATTTGTGTGTGAGAAAGAATAAGGGAGACTCACACTTCCTGCTGTCAGAGATGGAAATTCAGGAGTTCTGCCCGAGACTGAAGACTTACTAGGCAAATGTGAGTTTGTGTCTCAGGTTTCAGTGTGTGCATGAGGGTGGTGGATAGGCCTGTCTTCCTTGAAGGATTCAGTTTTCAGGGAAGAGAAGGAGGAGCAGGAAGGGCTTTGCTGCTGCTGTACAGTGGGTTAGTTTTGCACTCCAGTCACTGAGATTTAATGTTATGGTGGTAATTAATACTCTTAAAAACCCAACATGAACTGTAAATGGATAATTTTTATCCAGGAGTTGTCTGGAGTCCTGATCCTAATCATCATGTGGGTTTATGTATCCTAAGCTGGCTTTGTAATCTAGAATCCGTTTTTCTTAATTAGATGAAAATCAGATGTCATAGAGTGTCATAATTTAGGAATTCTGTTGTGCCTGTGTGAAAACAAACCGATGATGCTGTGGTAGAATATTCCAGAGATATTGGTATGTTAGTTATTAGCATCTGTATTCTCAAAATGAAATGTAATCGTGTTGGTTTAGCTGTAGTAGGATTGATGAGTTACTTTTTTTCCCTGTGAAAATACTATTTTGCATTCTGCTTGCTCTTGAATGTGCTACAGCTTTCTTCTAAAAGCAGAACAATTTTTCAGTTAATGCAGTTTTGGCATGTGACAGACTGAAATTTGTTATACAAAACAAGTGCTGGTGGCTTTCTTAGCTCTTAGAACTCTTAGAGGTTCCGTAACCAAGCTTTTGCTCCAGCAGCCAGTCCGAGGGGAGGTCCCAGCCTGGGTGTTGGCAGGGTGGGCAGAGCTGCCCCTGGACCATGCCCACTGAGGGACTGAGGCTGGGAGAGAGAAGGGCTGTGGGAGGAGGACACAGTACCCTGCCTTTTCAGCTGCATGAGGCACCTCCTGCTGTCAGTGGTACCTCAGGAAGTACTGAATTCCTGAGGAGTGAACCATTGGCTCTGCTCAGCGTGGAAAGGAGCTGTAAATGGACTGGGGGTGGTGTTGAGAAGGAGCTGGGACCTATAGAACCTTTTTCCTCTGCACTGCTTCCAGACCTGGTGCTGTTCTCCAGCTTAAATTGCCTGTTAAAAATTGTACTGTCCCAAATTAGCCCAAAGTGAGGATCAGTGTCACCAACTCCCTTTGGTTACAAATGCTCAGGGTGTGAGGCAGCAAGGGACAAAACAGACTGATGTGTCACCTTTGCAGTGCCCAGCTGTCACTGCAGGTTAATCATTGAACTCAGATTTGCACTGCATCCAAGGGGTTGCTCTGAATGAAACTGGCCAACTGGAATTGTTTCTGTAGTTACGTGACTGACCTCTTAGTTGTCCATGCAGTCATTTTTGAGACCCAATTGTAAATGCAAAATTGCATTTGCAGGGAGGTGGTCCTCGATGAATCTTGCAGCCAGATGATAAAGCTGTGGTAAAATGCAGAATAGCCAGGCTGTGTTTGGTGGGTTGTGATTCCCCTGGCAGTGCAACTGAAACACAGAGGGGGCTCAGAAATAACACTTTTAGATAATTTTTTTGCCTATCTTAACACATCAGAAGTAATTCTTTCTTAAGAGAAGTAACTAGTGCTTGCTGTCTGTTACTGAAAAATCTTAAAAGCCAGAATTTGGTCTGTGGAAGCTTCTCAGAGCAGGGGTGTGTCTGTAGCAGGTCCTGTGTGGGGTGGAGGGGACACGAGGTGGTTTGAGTGCTCACTGTCAGAGCAGCTCTGCCACTGGTCAGACCTGCAGGACCTGCTGCTGCTGCTGCTCACACGTGCAACACGAGGTGCTGGGACCTGGAACAGCCCCCTCGGAGTGGCAGAGAAGAAAAGGAATGCTGGGTGTGCAGTAAAGCAGTGTTATTGCAACAGAAGGGAGCACTGGGGAAAGAAACAGTGGATGGAATGGGATTTGCAGTGAGAACCAGGATCTCTGCAATCAGGAATCGACAATGATTGCTGTCAGTGGCTGCTCGGTGGGTACACTCAGCCATTGAAATTTAAATTTAAGTATAAGTGGCAGTGTATATAATGGCATTTATAATATGGCATTGTCCTTACTGGGAGGAGAGCCACCTTCACTGTGTCACTGAAGAACTTCAGATCAGGACAAAAAACCAATTTTAGAGCTTAAAGGTAGAACTGAAATGGGCAGCAGCAACCTGGGAGTCACCTCTCCCAAAGGAATGGTGGGATCATGCAGAAGGATGAGGATAAACTGCTGCTGGATGCCTGAAAGAGCTGACCTGGTGAGCTGCTGCTCAGCATCATTTACACTGGTGCCACCTGCACGAGAGCAGTGCTCAGCGTGCTGCTTGTTGGTCTAATTGCTCTAATTAACGAGTGAGGAAGTTATATGAATATGCTGCAGTGGAACCAAGCAACTGAAGCTGGAACTTGTGGATTTAAAAAAAAAAAAATGTATAAAAACTCCAAAACTGACACCTGCAGTCACTTTGGAAGGGACTTGAGCTAAACGTAGAATTAACTGGTTATTTATATATCTAAGAAAGTAAGAAAAGTTTTGGTACTTGTGGAGTATCTTGTAGTTTAATGCATTTAATTGACATTGCATCTGACAGATATCAAATTATCTTGTCTGAAACTGGAGCTGTGTAGTTATGGGTAGTTTGGGGTTAAAAAGTAGCCCAGTGTTTCCAGGCAGAAGCAAGTAGTGACTGCCCCAGATTGACATTCTTAGTTCTTTTTCCCCCAAAATCTTTTGAAGTGTGTTTTTAAACAGAGTAAGCTGGACAAGGATGCTGCTGCTCAGCCTCCAGTTTGAGCACCAAATACCGTGTAGGAAGTGAATTCAGTTAATGCTCTTGAGTTTTGGTTTCACTTTTAACAAGCTGCAGTTTTGTCCCTGGGTTAGGGAGCTGTAAAGTGGCCCTGGTGGTGCCAGCTGTGGTGTGACAGTGCCCACACTTGCTGCTTCCTGGCAGGGGTGGTTTGGGGTGAGGGAGCTGTGCAGATGTGCAGGGCGTGCTTTGGCTGAGTGCGGGAACGCTGCCGGCTGGGATGTGCCAGAGCTCAGTTGTACCGCTTCAGGTGGAGATTAAATAACATCTGAATTTGCTGGCTTTTGAATCAAATTAAAGTCTAAGCCTTCATTGTAGGCTTTGGAAGAAAGAACGCCTTATGTGTAGCTTGACACCACATCTGCACTTAAAGTCCTGTCACTTGTGTCTCGCAGTGACAGTGACAGTCCCTGTAGAAACAGGATCCAATTAGAAGCAAAATTCCCCAGTTCCTTTTGTGTCACTGTGAAATAATTGTTCTAAAATGAATCTAAGTGTGTACAGATTGTATTTTGGGAGAGTTAATTACAAACTGTGTGGTTCAGGGATTTAGTGCAAGAAGAGGAAGAACAGTTGATGGAAGAAAGGAAAAAGAGAAAAGAAGACAAGAAGAAGAAGGAAGCTGCTCAAAAAAAGGTATGTGGAGCACTGAAAAATAAAACCCTGTGCTCAGGGGTGACTTCTTTCACCACTAGTAAAAACTGATTTAACTGTTGTTACTCACAGGTATTTTCTTGTTAATTTGGTGTGTTCAGTTCAGATGTGCTGGCGGTTATCTAGTGGTTACTGACATACTGAACAGTGTCATTGCCTCTGTGTAGTTTCTTACAAGACTAGATTTTCTTCTGAGATGACCATTCTTTTTCATGATTGTCACTAGAGGCGGTTTCAAGTTTGAAGTCTCTCAGTGTTAATGCATTTATTAGTAGAATAAAAGTACCATTTGAAGGTAGTGGCTTTCAGCTGTATTCTTATTTTAATGTATCTTAATCTTCAGTATGGAAACATGTCATAAGAGAATTTGTAGTAGGATAGGTGGATAAAAATGAAAATAGTGATAGCAAAAGTGTTTAGGGATGGAAACGTCACAGGAATGTTTGTAAATACTTGAGAATCCCTGTTTACTGACAAGATACTCTTCATTGCCATTGATCCTAAATATTGACCCCGAGCTTGAGAGGAGCTTGTAAATGTGGGATTTAAATATGTCCATTTTGGGATTCTCTGGCTGGTGGGAGCAGAGTGAACCTGCTCAGCAGTTTTCCTGTGGTTCCAGTGCCTGATGCTGGCTATGGCTCTCTAGGAGCACACTGCTTTGTTCTACCTTCCACAGGCTTGCTAGCAAAACCTGCAGAGTCTTGAACCGAGCACTTTGGAAGAGCCCAGCTGAAATACATTCAATGTTTTTTCTCTCAGAGACTTGCACCTTAGTGCAGAAAGCAGTCAGCAGCCTGGGCTGTGCCCTGGCTCTTCACGGGCCTCTTTGGGTGCTGTGGATTGCCAGAAACAGCAAAAAAAGCTTTGAAAACTTCTGACTTATTTTCCTGTTCATGGGCCAAGTGCCAGGCAAACGACTTGGGTCACAGCTGGGGAGAGTACAAACTGTGTATCCTTTTCTGTCAGCATAAGAAGGTGAAAAGGAGGGGGTTTCTGTTAATGTACCCTTGATTTCCCGAAGAGAGGCAAGGTCGGGGCACGGGAGAGTTGTGGTTAAAGTTCAAGTATTGACCCTAGCAGTGCTAATGTCTGAGTCTGGGCAAGTCTGACATCAAACCAGTGAATCCATAAACTCTTCTTGCATTCACACCCTCTCCTTTCTTCCCCTCCTCGTGGCTTTCATTATAGACAATCACACCCTCAGTATTATCGCAAGTCTATTTCATACTGTAAATATATGGAGCATCACAATTAAAATGGGTTTTATACAGCTTCCAAAGTGACCACATCAAATTAATCTCATTTTCTTGTGGCAGTAATTGATTTTAAAAGTGAGAACTCTAGTTTCAGATGGGAGGAACTATGTGCTTTGGGAGGCACTTTCTGAGCACAGTCTCCCTGTGGTTTGTAGTTAGAAGCACACCACTGAGGTGCACTGACATGCAAGAAATGTTTCTCTCCCCAGTTTTATGCAGCAATAAAGTTTTATTCAAATAGATCTTTCATCTTGGCCACACCACAGGTGTAACCTGTTGAATCTTGGAAATGAAATGCTTTGGCATTTGCTCTCTTACTCCTTTCTATTTCCAGGTCCCTCCCCCTTCCCTTCCCTGTTCTGCAATAAAAGTGGTGGCGGCTCTTTGCTTCCAGGCACAGTTTTTAACTCACTTAAAACATCTTAATTTGCAAGTTTAATTCAGTCTGTTTCATGTAGTTATCTTTCAAATTAATTTTGTCTTCTGTAACATTTAAACAGCTTTTTAGGCATAAGGAATAATAGGCCTGGGTTGGTTAAAGAGATGCTTCTGAAGCAGATAATTAAATAACTTGAAACCATATTAAAAGAGGAAAGTCAAAAGCTAATGTTGCTTTATGAAGTGGCACGTGCACATGTGGTTTCTCTCTTATCTGCACAAATCACTGACACTTCTTTTTTCTCGTTCTAGGCCATTGAACAAAAAATCAAAGGTAAGTTACTTTACAGTTACTTTTATTCTGTGTATTCTTTCTGTGGTTTTAAATGTGTTGAATCAAACATGTCACCTGAGAACTCCTTTCAGAGGTGAAAGGTGGGATCCTTGAGACTTTAGCTGCACCTTTTCAAAGTGACCACAAAAGCCTGGAAGAGTAAAGGTGAAGGGTTTGCACAGGGATTGGAGTTGCTGCTCTTCCTGTTTTCCATTCTTAGTTACTTACACAGCACCAGGCATAGACATAATACCTGGAGTTCTTGTCCTGGTTTGCACTTTTCCTTCCCCTTTTTTGCCTTGATTGCAAGTGCACAAACATTTAAGGAATGACCATGTATAGAATGATCTGTTTGAAATTTACTTCCCAGATATTCCAAGTGCAGCTGGGATTGGGAACCCTTGGTAGACAAGTTATTGATATGGCCACTTTTGCATGTTCATCCTGCAAAATGATCAAGATGTCACTACCTGAAAGGTGTCATTTCCATGTTCATGGCAGGTGGGAGCACTGCAGTTATTCTGAATATTTGTAGGGTTTGTGCGGATCTCCATTCCAACCAACTCCTAAGGAGGAGAATAAAGATTGTGTTCCCTTTTCTCTAGAATTCAAAGAATTAGGAAAATATCTAGATTTATTCTGAAGTGATAAAATATGTTTGAAAAGGTGATGGAGAAGGAAAATAATAGAATACTTTGCTGTAGACAGTAACATGCATTTGGAGTGACCATTTGACCTGTGTGCTTGGGCTGCTCTGGCCTCATGTCAGGGCCAAGGCTGCACAAGCAAATGACTAAAAATAGCATGAATAGGGAGGGCAGGAATTCTGCTCAGGAGGCTACCTGATGGGAATCTTCACAGGGAAGGACAAAATAATTTTTTTTAACTTTTTTTTTTTTTTCCTTCTTTGAGGCCTAACGTTCACTAATTGATATATTAAGTTCCAACTTTTATTACATTATTATTTAAAGGGTGTTTCAGAAAGTTTACCAGGAATTTAGAGTTGTCAGAGAAACACAAGCTGGCAGTGTTCTGGAAGAACAAACATGATGAGATGCAGATACACAACTTTTTGCCGCAGTTTCTATAGGAACAAAATCCATATCTTGTGTTGCATGGCTTTTGCCTTGTTTCACCAGTTTTACCTCCTTGTATTCAGGATGCAAATTAATGTTTCATTAGTTTCCAAGTTTCCATCACGTTAATGTCTTAAATAATTTATTCTGTGCATGAGCTGAAGATAAAATACAAGAGTATAGGATCTCTAAATAATTCAGAATTATGTGCCTCTTTCAGAAAAGGAGCTGGTTAAGTGGTGGGGGTGAGGAGGGAGGATATTTCTTGGTTTTATGCATAGTTTGGATGGGTCTAAACTGCTGTTATAGCTAAGGTAGAAATTGCTGTTGTGCCAGCTGAAGCAGGTCCCAGTGTTTGTGTAAAATGACAGGAACCTTCTGAGAAAGTTCGTAGAGCTGGGGGTTTTCCTGTTCAGGCTTGGGGATGGAAGTAATGAAGATGATGCTAATATAAATGTTTCTGGTGCCAGGAGCGTTTTGTTACTGTAGTATTGCAGTTAAAAACACAGGTTTGGCATCCCTGCAGATTTCAGGGACTCTGACCTGTCTGGTTTGATCCAGCTGGTTTTGTTAAAGGAGGGGAGAGCAGGTTGGAGCCGTTAGAGGCGAGTGTATTAGTTGCTAAGTGGAAGGTTTGTCTGTTTGTGGAGCAGCTGGCAAAACACGTGGACACATGCCTTCCCAGTGCTCTTTCACTGGGTACTGTAGGAAAAAATAAGGATAATTTGAAAATCCCTATTCATTGAGAGTACTGGGGAATAGTCAGTTGTGGTATTCTTTCTAGCCTGGCAAAATACGTCCTTTTGCTGTGCTTAAAGTCAGTGCTATTAAAGATAGACAAATCCATCCATTTATCCTGAATTCCCTCTAAACCAGAACTCTTGCAGCAGCACTGTGGCCCCAGGTAGCTGCTGGTGAGTCCAGCGCTGGAGGAAGGAGGTTCAAGAAGGATGTTCAAGCGCTGTCCAAGAAGGATGTTTAAGTTTGGCTGGGTGTGCTCGCTCCAGCAGTCGGGGTGTGCTGCCCCAGGGTGAGAGCTCAGCGTGAGGTGAAATGCCCTTTGCCCTCAATTTAATGTGTAGATGCAAAGTAACTGATAAAGCTTGCTCAGTGCTGGGGTTGGGGTTAGTTCTGAAAGGGTCTGGGCTTTGGGGAGCAGCAGCAACTCGAGCTGCACCCAGCTGTCACTGCAGCACTGGATCCCTCAGCAGAAAGTGCCACTTTCATTGCAGAACAGAATAAACTGAATTACCCACTGAAACGGAAAGTGCTCTAAAAATAGCTGGGTGTGGAATTGAAATCTTTGACTCACATTTCCCACCTTGGAAACTTGTTCGTGTTCTTCTCCGCAAAGCAGAACGGCCCGACTGCACTGACCCTTCTGCTTTTCGTCGGGGTTTTCGCTTGCCTGCCTCTGCTTTTCCTGACTGGAAAAACTCTTGTGTTAGCTCTTAAATCTCGCAAGTGAGTAGAAGAATGCCGGGAATGGGCCCGGCTGGCTGTGCAGTCCCCGCAGGAAGGGCGCGCTCACCTCTGGATCCGCAGGGGTTAACGCCTTGGCAAACACGGAGATATTTTCCAGAGCAGCTCCGAGCTCACAGCTGCGGCCATTTTTCCACCACGAAAATTCTAGCACTACATCTTACGTGTGTCAGCTTGAAAGCCAGACTTCCTCTGTTTGCCCTTCAGCATTCCAGCCCTGACAACTCCGGGGCATGCCATGCAGGGAGAGCGGCACAAGGCGTTTTCCAGGGGCAGCTCCGGCGGCAGCGACGAGGAGCGTTTCCCTGCCAGCCTGGTGCTGTTCTTTGTGTGTGTTAGGGAAGGATTTGATCTCTGTGCGCTGATTTTGGGCGAGGGAGAAACTGTTTTCCATCTGCGTTAAAGTTACTCAAGCAGCTGCCATTTTTTTATTGGAGGGGGAGTGTGAGTCCCTGGGCCCCTGCTCCAGGAGGAGTTGGCAGGCAGCTCCTGGAGCAGTAAAATGACACCATGCTTCTCCTCCATTTTCTAATGAAATCTGCAGAGTGGGAAAGCAACACAAGTTGGAAGCGTCTTTCTTTGGAATCTCTCTGTAAACTGTAACTCCACCATCCCCTGCTCTGAGGGTTTGCAGCAGGTTTGTTCTTTATGAAAATCTGTCATTTTTAATACTCATTTCTGTAAACTTGCTGTTCCTAGTCAAGTTAATTAACTGTGATAAACTGTAGGTCTGTTAGTATTGTATTTCTGCATTAATAAGATTCAAAATAAAATGCTGGTATGCAGAACAAACTTTTATTAACAAGCTACTTGTTTAGAGCAAATTAAAATATTAAGATAACAGTTTAGGTGTGCTGGAATTCGTAGTAGCCATATTGGAATATTAATGTTATTTAGCCTTCTGAGAAGTTGTGGAGCAGAAAATGTTGGACAGGATAAATTGTATAGCTTAAAACTTACTCTGTGGTTCTGAGGGAACGAAGGCAAGGGGATTCTGTGTGCTTTGGATAATTTTAGTTTAAAATTAGCATATGAATGTGGACTCTGCCTGTTCTATAGTCTAACCCGGGGACCTGCAGTTTGCTCTTTAGTTTGCTGATCATAGTAGACAGAATTGCTACATTTGCTAAGGAAATGATGCTTAGAATATATGAGACATTTAATATTGTTGAGCTGTTGGAGCAGTGCTGCTGGTGCTGTGCCTTGGGGCTGGCTGGGCAGCGAGCACCTTGTTTATTCGCTGCTCTCCTTGATAGTCAAAAGCGATTTGAGTTCCTGCAGGTCCCTGGGGTCTGTTCTAACACACTGGGTCTTGAAGGGGCTTTAATTAGGAAAGTGAAGTGTTAGGACTGCCGTGAGTGTGCTGCTGGCAGCTCTGTCGGGGTGTCCAGGGAATGTCAGATGGAAATTATTTCACCTTATCCCAGAAGAGCAGTTGTGGGGCAGTGGAAGTGACAGGGAAGGAGAAGTGACTCCGTGAGCACATTACCAGGTGCTCTATGTTGTATTAAAACCTCCTCAAGTGAGGGGTATTTGTATTTTCTGCTTAAGCTGACAGTAAAAAAAAAAAAAAAAAAAAAAAAAGCTTAAATGAGGTGTGCTGGGAAGGGTCACTCATGGAATCAGCTGAAGCAAGAAGCACAGGGAGAGTGCCAAAAGTTAAGGTTTGGGCAGTGGTTACACAGATTGTGGAGTGTGAATAAATGTGTTTAATTTCAGAACTTTTTGCAGTACCTATACCAGAGAGAAGAACAAAGTGCTTCTGCATTAAACTGTCAACAAATTCACAGCAATTTGTTTACATAGCACCCCCCACAGCCCTGGGTTTACTCACTCTCATTTTATTTTTAAAGCAAGAGATTTTAGAAGGAGCAAATGAAGCAGGTATGTTTAAGACTACATTGTATTTGTGTGGTTCAGTTCTGATCATAATTTGTTAGCACATTATGTGCATCAGAACACCATTCAAAGAATCAGTTATCCCCTGTTGATATAGGGAACAGCTTACATTGAGGCAATCTGGGGTGGTGTTGGTGATCTTTATCAACTTCCCAGTTCATCTAATAGCTTTTGAATCCCTTCTGTTCCCTGTGTCTGTACATTCAGCTGACTTCTGTCCTGACCATTCCTGTCCGCAGTTCAGTCCCTCTCCAGTCAGCTGTGAAATGGGAGAGCTGTGCCCAGAGGGATGTGGGCACTGTGGGGAGAGCTGGGTGCTCCTCACCCTCAGACTTCTGCCCACCCTTGGCTGCCCACCTGTATGTCAAACAAGGAGGTTCTTTCCTGCTTTCCTTAAGCAACCTAAATAAAATAATCCGTTAAAACACAACCCAGATGCTGATTCTTCTGTGACTTTTTTTTTTTGTTGTTGTTCTAAAGGACTTCTAGTTTCTGGTTTTAATAATATGTATTTGTATACTGTAGTAAAAATAAACTGAAATTATAGTCATAATAGCACTGACAACATTCGAATTGATTCTTTAAATAAAAACTTGAGTGTGTTTTCATTTATTTTTTGTGTTATATTCCCATGAATCTGTTCCTGAAAGTCAATGATAAAGTGACAAATTTAAAACAAATTTTTTTCAACAAATTTAAAAAAATTTTAAAGGCCCCTGAAAACTACATTTTCAGTCATGTAGCAACAATATTCCTAGTGCTGAGTGATTGAGTCTTGAGGTATCTCAGGAAGTTCTGCAGTAAAGACTAACACATTTTATGGATATCCAGGAAATTTGAAAAGTACATTAAGATATCAGTAAGGAGGGATGGAGTAAAGCTTCGCCGTGTTGGTTGGGGATGGATGGCAGTGGCACCAGGGCACACACCAGTAGCTCGGTGTCCCTTCCTCCCTGGTGAGCTGGTTTACTCACCAGTTCCTCCACCTGCCCCATACTTCCCCCTCTGCTGTTGTGCTGCTGGGGCGGGGTGTGGAGCTGAGGATGGTGTGGGTTTCCCTGGATCCAGCAGCTGGGTTTGGTGTGCTCCCTCGCTGTGACCTCTGCAACTGATGTGACCTTGCCCTCGCCTTGCCGGGGCCGTGCTGTCGGCACTGAGATAATTTGCAGTTGCACATTTGGCATTTTCCCAGTGCCAGTCCCATCCTGCCGGGCTGTGTGTGGTGTTGCCTGTGCTGGCACCAGGGACTTGAGGGCATTGGTGTCTTCCCCTTTGGATAGTGGGGTCGATAAAGCAGGGAAGTCCTAGCAGCAGGTCCTGTAGGTCCTGTTCACCCCTTGTTCTTCTTGGGCCAGGCCAGGGTGGTTCTCTGTACATGACACTGAAAATCTAACTCCAGTGGGAAACTTAATTTTTTAGTACTTAAGTAGTTTTCTAACTGAAAGTTAAATGCTGCGATAAACTGCATAATGCTGGTGTGTCAGGAAAAAGCTGTAGAAAGCTGGTCAGTAGTCGTTTACTGTAACTGATGATGCTAGGAGTGATAGCAAGGCATATTCCTGCTTCCAGATCTGTGCCATGAAAGTGTGTGATTGTGGAATATCAGAGCTTTTCCTGGGGAATGAGTTATAGCTTGAATAGGAAGAAATGCTGCCCCTGCATCGTATATAAACACCTCTGAATATTGACTCAGTCTTTGATTTTTTTTGAGTTGCTGTTCGTATGAATAACTTTGTCCCACTTTCTTTTTCCTGGGGGTGGGGGTAGTGCCAGAACAAACCAAGACAAGTGTAAGCCAGCCTCAGCCTGTCACCTCCAACGGCACTTCCACAGGAACCAGCACTACTAATAATGCCAAGCGGGCCCCAGCCAGCAGCCAGCAGCAGCCCTTGCCTCGATACCCTCCTCGGGAAGTACCACCGCGATTCCGACACCAGGAACAGAAGCAGCTTCTGAAACGAGGGCAGCAGTTACCAGTGATAGCTGCAAACCTGGGATCCACTCCCAAAGTGTTAAACGGCCAGTCAGGAGGCAGCACTGTCACCAGTAACCAGCCCGTGACCAACGGAGAAGTGCCCAACAGCAGCAAAAAACAGCCAGGTGAGGGCAAGCACCTTGTTTTCCCTGAACTAAAATTGAATGTTGTAAATTCCATTACCAGTGTAATATTTGAGCCAACGTTGTTTAAGCTTTCACGGTAAGCTGAAGGATGAAGAGATGCTTTCCTGTGTTGTAGTCTGCTGTTGACCATGGCAGGATGGTGTTGGCCTCACTGTGCAAGTTCCATACTGAAACCTCAGCCTGTCTCAGGGGCTTCTGGTTGCCAGTGGTGTGTGACAGACAGGGCAGGTTTGGAACAGGTGGTGATTGCAATATGACCACGGCTGTGCTCCACACTTCCAGGCTGTGTCCTGATCATTGATCCCAGTGTGGTCGTGGTACAAAGCACCTTTTTTGTGTCCAGTTTTGATAGACCTCACAAGGAGGGGCCTTTAGGACCCTTTCCAGAGAGGGGCTCATCCCACAGTGTGGGCAGCAGGTGAGGGGGGCACTCTGCAGTGCTGCCTCCAGCTCTGGGGTCCCCAGCACAGGAAGGACATGGACCTGTTGGGGCGAGTCCAGAGGTGACCCTGGAGATGATTAGGGGGATGGAGCACTGAGAGCTGGGATTGTTCAGCCTGGACAAGAGACGCTTTGAGGTGACTTAATTACGGCCTTCCAGGACCTGAAGTGAGCCAAGACAAGAAGGATGGAGAGAGACTGTTTACAAGGCCCTGGAGTGACAGGACAAAGGGGACTGGCTTCCCATTGCCAGAGGGTGGGGTTAGATGGGGTATTGGGAAGAAATCCTTCCCTATGGGGATGGTGAGGCCCTGGCACAGGTTGCCCAGAGAAGCTGTGACTGCCCCATCCCTGGAAGTGTCCAAGGCCAGGTTGGACGGGGCTTGGAGCACCCTGGGCTGGTGGAAGGTGTCCCTGCCCATGGCAGGGGGTGGCACTGGATGGGCTACAAGGTCCCTTCCAACCCAAACCATTCTGGGATTCTGAAAAACACCTCCAGACTTTTCTTTATTTTTTAACTTCATGCCTACAGATCCAGACAGGGTATGGCTTGTTCAGGATATCAGAATTGATTTTTGTTGTTAGGTCAGATTTCTTCTCTGTTTACCCACCTGAAGCTCGATTGCCCTACAAAATGGATCCACTTTATTCCTAATTAAGTACAGTTATCCTTTGTTACTTTAGCTTGTTATACATTTCTGCAAATACAGAAATCCTTTTAAGACAGGTAAACTTACCTGTTACGCCTGCATGATGTGCTGTTCAGTGACTGCAGTAGCATGCAGTTCAGGGAATTTTCCAGGACATTAATGCAGTTAATTTTTGGATGGAAAAAAGTAACTTTCTGTAAAGGGTCTAGCTTTGAAAAGGGATTTGGTATTAGTGCATGCTAATACTTAATATGTTGAACAAATGCTATCTTATTTTTATAATTGTATTTATATTTTGATGTGCACATAGCAGTGATGATGTAATTTGTTTCCACAAATAGTTTCTTCTGAGACTTTACTAAATTCCCAGTGTTTCTCAAAATTAGTGTTTTATAGACCACAAAGAATGTGACTCCTAGCCCCTTCAGTTAAAAAAAAAAAAAAAAAGTCAGAAAAGCCCCTGAAGATAACCTTGATATTTCAAGTCTGAGTTGAATTTTGAGCTGTTCTGATTCCTGCATCTTGAAGAAGCGGTATTTAAAGTGAAAGTAATCAAAGCATTGGCAGCAGTTCATCCATGTTTCTTGGGGGATGTTTACCCTATTACTTTCCAGTGTTATTTCTGTAACATCCTGATAGAACTCTTTACCATTGCAGGAAATAATTTTTAAGTAGTTAATTTTTTTGCCTTACCTGTATAATGTTGTTCCTGCCCACAGCCAGGTTTGAAGTCACCTTTCGTATATACTTGGTTGCTTCTGAGATGACACTTTTTCTGCAGTATATATCCTCTGCTGGTCAGGTTGTATGATCACAAGTGGTGATTTAAATAAAAATTTGCATGTAAACTAACTTAAGTATTACTGTTTATACAACCTATGAAACCTCCTAGTTGTATCCAGAGGATTTGTGTACTGTCCTCCATTGCACTCCTCCTGTGAACACCAGCCCGGTATTTAACGAGCTGGATTCTCGTTTGTGTGCTACATTCTTCCCAGTTTTGCTCAGTTTTCCTTGGATTCCTGCTGGTGTGGCTGGGCACTACCAGCATGTCCCAGTGCTGTACTGGTGTCTGGGCAGCTGCCTCACTGGGAGCAGTTCTGTGGTCTGAATAATACCTGGATTATTTGAGTAGTGTATCTGCACACCCAGCTGGTTCCAGAGGGGTCCTGAGAGCCTTCGGGGGAGAGAACAGTTGGCCAGATCACTCTCCCACCTTAAGAAAATGTCTGTGTGGTCTGCATCATCCTGTCAGAGCTTTGTCCCTGTGTGCTCTGCTCCTGGTGTTCCTGTGTCCCAGGAAAACTCCTCAGAACCACTAGTCGAGGTTGGGCAGCCAGAATCACCTTTCTTGGAGCCACTTTGTGTGCTTGGAAGGTCTCTTTCCCTGAAACAGCCAGGAAGAATATCTGGTTTGGATGTGTTGTTATGTTCTTTCAGAAACACAGACAAGATGATAATGTGAAGGCAAATAGTTCTTCCATGCTGGATTTTTGTCCTGGTTTCAAGCCCTTGTCTGATGAGTTGCCAGTGAGGTGAGGTGGCCATGCAGCAGCAACCAAGAGTGACCCAGTGTCTTCTGACACCTTTGTATCTGAAAGGAAATGCTGTTGTCATTTGTCTATCTCCATCTCACTCACTCTCCCTAGTTCCTCTTTCGGCCTCCAACAGCAGTTCCAGGTACTTGCTGTGGTGTTACCTCTGAAATCAAAAATCTCATGAAATTTGACACATCTGCAGGTCCCTTCCCTATCCTTGACGGGATATCCATGCACACTAGGGTTAAATTTAATACCTTAACAGAATAGCTTCTTGACTTTTGTTTTAAAGCGTTATTTAATGGCTACTGGAATTGATGTGTCTAGGGCTACAAGAAAAACTGTGGTGTTGAAGGTGTTGAAGTCAGAATTGTGGGAATTGGGAATGGCTAGGGTTGCTTTATGTGTCATTCCTGAAAAGTTCTCTCCCCAATTCCAGCTGAGGTTGGAATGATTTGTAAAAGCCAGGGAACACAGGTACTGCTGACTTCAAATCTCTAGTTGCCCTGACCACACTGAGTTTTTCTGTCTTTCATATTGGGGAATTTTTTAATTATAAAGTGGTCAAAACCCCATCTCTTTACTTGTGTTTTGTGTGCAAAATCATCTCCTGTTTGGAAAAGGAACATGCTTTGTTTAGAAGAAGGGATAGTTCTGTGGGTTCTTTATTTGTCTGCTGGTTTTAGGACATTGGGCATATCTTTTTAGTAAAGACACGTAAGTGAAGCTCACGCTATGTAGTGCTCCTGAAACAAATCCAGACTTGTGCCAAGCTGGTTATTTTAAGAGCTCTGCCCAAGTAGCTCATTTTTGGGACACTTTCATATCCAGTTCAGTCACTGGCCTCACTGATGCTCCCCATGTGCAGACTTCCCACAGAAGGAAGGGTCGATCACTGCCCTGGTATTTGCTCACCTCTGCTTTGGAACACGTCAGAGTAACCAGCTGGTTATTCCACAGTGAAGGGATTTATATAATGAACTAAGATAATAGCCAGCAGTAATTGCTTACAACTGTGAGACAGAGCAGAACAGGAGAGCACCTCTGGGCTCCTGGCGTGGCTCCAGTTTGGGTTCCTCCCATCCCCCTTTATCCCAGAGCATCTCGCAGCGGAGCCACGAAGTTGTGTCCCAGACACAGCCCTTGGGAGCAAAAGATTCCTCCTTTAACTTGGAGGAGTTTCTTGGCTGTTGTAGCAGTCTGGGAAGAGGGGAGCAGTTAGGATTTGCCGTTAGTTGTGATGGAGGCTGAATCAATTTGGGAAACATTGCCTTAAATGTAACAGTTACAGTCTCCAGCTGTAAAATCTGTGAGTTTGGAACGTGAACTTTGATTCCGTGTAGTGCCTGGGGGACACAGAGGAGGAGGGGCTGTGAAAGAGGGCAAATGACAGTTATACACGTGCTTGGGTTAAATCAGAGTTAGGCCATACTCAGACATTGCTGTTTGCTCAGTCAGACAGCACAATACTGACTTTGAGGCAGACAAATATACTGTTCAGGGAGGAACTGCTGAAGTTTCAGGGCTGACCTCTCAACTTCTAAGTCAGTACAGTCCAAAATGAAGTGATTTTGGTTTCTTTGACTATAAATTCTTCCTCTTTTTTATGTAAATCAAACTTTTAAGGACATACTAAATTGGTCCATTAGCTGCCAAACGTGTAACAAGGAGCTAGCAGTGGAAATGTGTCCCAAAAACAGCTGAATTGCTAGTGCAGAAATCCCCAGGCTGTGTTTGCTGTCAGTGTGTCTGCTCGGGGAGGTGATCAGAGCAGCTGGCTCTGAGAGAACCCCGTCCTGGAAGAGGGGGCTAAAGCCTGGGTTTACAGCAGTGAGTGGTTTGGGGACTGTTCTCTCATTTACTGAAGTTAACACTTCTGTGATTTTCTTGCTTTTTTTTTGTAGGCATGCCTCCCATTCGGGACTTGGTGAGCCACTCCCCTAACCAGTCAGGTTAGCTACTTCCATCTCACCTGCTTTTACACTACCGTGCTTGTAGTAGTTACATGTTTCACACAATTTTGTCTGGGTTTTTTTTTATTATTATTATTTTTTATTCTTTGGCTTACATTTTTCAGTAGCATGTGCTGTGTGAATGACTTCAGTATACTTTCTCTGTACCATTGCATACTAATTTGGTTTAACATTTTTAATTTTCTAATTTAGCCAGAATTCATACTAAAAGCTTTTGGCACCTTAGCTTTAAAACACTAAGTGGGGTTATTTTACGTTTATGCTTACATGTTAAATTGCCTCTCTGTGGTATTAAATTGAATAATCTGTGCAAGCCCATGCTTTCTATCAGAGATGTGTCGCAGCACTGTGGAGGAAATCATGTCATCATTGCTCACTAAAAGCTCAGAAGTTTGTTTACTAAAATGCATTTGTTCATAAGGCCCAAAGGTACAGTGATTGGCAAGGTGTAGTATTGACAGTCTGGGGGTGCCAGGTGTACTGGAGCAGGAAAAGGAGGCAGAAGGAGCAAGATCCAGGTATTTCTTAATTTACACTTCTCAATCCTTCTGTTTATTTTAGCCCATGTGATGGTACTTTAAAACAAACAAACTGCTTTTGTAAATACATACGGTTTCCTGCAAACATTTCCTGCAGAATAACTCATAGCTAGAAAGCATTACACTACAGATTATTGCAAAGCATTAAATTACAGCCAAGATTATTGAAAACAATCCTAACAGATTACAGAATTTTAAGGAACTCAGGTTTGTGTAAATGTTTTGTCCAGGATTTAAGCAGCAAAAGTTCAGTTGCAACTTTAAATAGTTTTGGGAAGAAAAGTGAGAGTAGGCTGTTGTGGCTGCTTGTGCTGTGCACCAAATGCAGTGTATTGTCAGCTGTTGTTTTTCAATTTTGGAGGTGTTTTTCTGGTCTAATGCCTGCTTGTTCAGTATTTGTATCCTTAAACACCGAAGTTCATGGGTTGAGGAAATTCAGATAGGAATGTTCCAGAACAGTGGCATGTACCAAACCTCACTTACACATATTTGTGTCCAGGAGAAAGACTGTTGGTCAAAGTAGTTTTGTATGCAATAGGAGAAGATTCTGGCTGAGTGGAAGCTAATGACTGTATGCTCTTGTGGATTGGCTCGGCACAAACTGCATCACAGTTAGATTAGGGTAATAGAATTGTAATAAATACCAGCTTTCTTTATGTA